ATCCCTAGAAGAAGTAACCCCAAATCTACAGAGTTTAACAATTATATTTATTTAGACCAAAACACGTACTCACAACAAAAAGTATAAGAGAAGAAAATTTCATTAGGCACTATAAAAAAATACCATCACACAAAGATGAAAGAATAATTTGAAGTATAAGAAAGCAAAGCTGGCTGGGGCGCGGTGGCTCAAACCTATAATCCCAGCACTTTGAGAGGTCGAGGCAAGAGGACTGCCTGAGACCAGGGAATCAAGACCAGTCTAAGCAACTTGGTGAGACCTCGTCTCTACAATAAATCAAAAAATTAGCCAGGTGTGGTGGTGCATGCCTGTGGTTCCAGCTACTTGAAAGGCTGAGGTGGAAGGATCCCCAGAGCCCAGCAAGCCAAGACTGTGGTGGCCATGGTGTACCACTGCACTCCAGCCTGGATGACGGAGTGAGATTCCAACTCAAAAAAAAAAAAAAAAAAAAGAATAGTATGACCCATAATATCAACTGGCTTTGTAAGCTTTATGTTATGATCCCACCATATATGTACAATCTTCTGGGTTTTTCTCCTGGAGTTATACAAAGTCCAGAGAAGCCAGTGCTGGAGAAGGAAAAAGAAGCCACAACATCAGACTTGCCCCAGAGACCACAAAATAAGTGACTCGAAATTACCTTTACTTCCCCTCTTGGAGGGACTCTGGAAAAACCTCAGTCATTCCACAAATCCTATGGAAGACAGCTACTGCAGAAGGGATTCACGCCAGACCTTTCCTTAATCTCCGTGTTGAGCAAGACCTCAGTTGCTGCTACTTCCCCATGACATCTTCTCCTCTACAGTAGGAAAGCAGCATGCCCAGGGAGTCCTACACCTCCCCCCTGGGCCCAAATGCTAAGTGAAGTGATTTCCGAGCCTTAGAAAGGGGCTTCAGAGACCAAAAATGGTATCCTTCCAGACATTATACACATCAGCCCGACTCACTGACACTGTGACAGACATGCCAAGGTCAACAAATTCAAACAGTCCCTATCAGAATACAAATACCTAAGTGTATGGTATCATAGCCTCTTCCTGAGCTATGATCAGTTACTGATACCCAAACATTTTATATTAGCTACTATTATTATTGCTATTCCCACAGGAATTAATGTTTTTGACTACAATCCTACATGGAAGTAACATTAAATAATCTCCAGCTATATTATGAAGTTTAGACTTTATTTTTCTACTTATAGTTAGAAGTTTAACAGGAATTACACAAGTTAACTCATCAGTAGACATCAATCTTCAGGATATATTGTTGTACATTTCTAGTATGTTCTATCAATAGGAAGAGTCTTTACCATTATAGGATTTGCTCACTGAGTCCTACTATTTTCAGATCATACACTCAACTCGACCTGGCAGTGCTTTATATCCCTCTAGAAGACACACAGTTCTGCTGATACTTAGCTTTAGCCCTGTAAGACCGATTTCAGACTTCTGACCTCTAACATAATAAGAAAATAATTTGTATTGTTTTAAACTACTAAATTAGTGGCAATTTTTTAACAGCAGCAATAGGAAAATATACAAGGGCAAGATCTAATCCTTCACAAGACTCAGTTACCATTCAATTTCAAAAGCCTCACAGAAAGTCTTGCCACACACACTGAGACTAGGAACAACCAACAGAAATGCCATCACTTCCTAGTGAAAAACCCAGGTTTGTAGAGAAGATCAAAGATTGTCATGTGTCCCATTTAAGTATTCATCTCAACCTCACTGATTCACGGTACTAGCATGTACTGCTCTTGGAAGGTATTTCTGCTCCCTCAGAGTTCCAAGCAGGAGACTCTGCATGTGGAAAATGTAGAATTATCTACCAAATGAACACTGGAAAACTGTATGGAAAGGGGAGAAGAATTTACAGAAGAATGGAGCTCTTTGCTACATGAGTGGAAGAAGTTTGGGAACAGTACCCTTAAGGGACAAAACAAGGCAGAAAATTCTGGGATAAATAAATCTGGTGTTCACATCACACAATAAACGATTTCAATACAAGAAGGAAAGAAGAAACAGCAACTCACGTGGGGCATGGTTTTTAGAACTGTCAGAATAGATCAATTATATTTGTGGGTATTAACCTCACTTTCGTTCCATAACATTTGCTTGATTTATCAGGCATGCCATAACAATACTCTAACTATCCTGATGCATATACTACATGAAATATCATTTGCTATAGTTTTGTTTGTCCCCATCAATCTCATGTTGAAATTTAACCCCCAGGGTAGTGTGTTGAGAGGTAAGAGTGGGAAGTGTTCAGGTCATGGGAATGGATCCCTCATGAATAGATTAACACCCTCACTTAAGGGTTAGTGAACTCTATTGGTTCCCATTAAGAGCAGATTGTTTAAAAAATCCTGTCACCTCTCCCCCCCACTTCCTCTCTCACCATGTGATCTCTGTACACGTTGGCTCCCTTTTGCCTTCCACCATAAGTGAGGCCCTCACCAGAAGCCAAGCAGATGTTGCTGTCATGTTTTTTGTACAGCCTGCAGAACCCATGAGCCAAATAAACCTCGTTATAAACTACCAGCATCAGGCATTCCCTTAAAGCAACACAAAATGAACTAAGATACCTGTAGTACTTGACCTAGTTCCATAAAACACTGTGAAAACTTGTCAATATCTATGTTTTAATGTCACTGTGAAGCTAAACAGCATTAACCTTTTAAGTTAATGATGGAGAGTATTAATCTCTCCACAATTAAATGCCAAAACTAGACACATCAATATAATTTATTACTATTATTTCAATAATTCTTGTACTATTTAATTAAATTAAAAATTTTGAAATATATCTATTCTTTAACTCATCATCAAAGAACATAGAAACCTCAAAACTTAAGACCCTTTTAGAAAAAAGTAGACAAAAATTTATTCTTCTCTGTCACTATCCCTACACCCATAATTAACATTTTGCCATATTTCCTTCTTGGCTCTTTTCCATGGACTTCTGTGCAATTGAATTGATACTGCACAGACAAACTTCCATCACACTTCTTTCCCCTAATTATTATAGCACTGTTATTAAAAACTTCTAAAACTTTTTTACTCTGTACCTTTGAGAGGTCCTCAAGTGAGCCTTCAACACTGCCCAGTGAGTTAACTCACTGCTCTACTCTAGTTTTTATTATTGACTTATTTCTTCCTCATTCTTTTTTTAATCATCTACAATCAGGTTTTTGTTCCTCTCATTTCCAAACCTAATTTGTCAGAGTCACCAATACCCTTCACTTTGCCAAATCCAATAGCCAAATGTCAGCCTTCATCTTATTTGACCTGTTAGCATCATCTCTCATAGTTAACTGCTCCCTTCATTTGCTTCTCACACGGCTTCCAATATACTGCATTCCTTATTTCTAAAACACAGGTTACTGTAGTTACTCCTCAATTTCCTTGGCTAGATCATTTTCCTCTTCCTGACTGAATGCTGGAATGCCCCATGGTTTAGTCTTTGGACTTTACCTTGCCTTCCATATAAGCCAATTCTTCCATAATCGTAACCAGTCCCATGATACAGATATTAAGGTTATATTTCTCTCTTCAGTCCTAACTACCTACTATCCACTGCCTACCCCATGACCTGCAGGTTTCCAAATGCTTATCTAACTTCTCCACATGGATATTTAATGGGCATCTCAAATACATAACTCTTGACTTCCTTCTGCAGGCAGGAAGGAAACCCTGATGCCTCTATTTCCAATCCATCTATTTCCAATCTTCAAAACAACTCCGTTTGGAAGGTACTATTTCTACCTTCAAAATATAACCCATTCTCATCACTTCTACATATTAACAACCGTATTACAAGCTACTATTATCTCTAATGTGAACTTATGAACTAGTCCTCTAACTAGTCTTCCTGCTTCCATTCTTATCTGCACTGTCCACATAGCACCCAGAAAGACCTTTAAACCAAGATCCCTTGCTTATCTGCAAAAAAAACAGCCAGAGGCTCACTATCACACTTAGAATAAAATCTCACTCCTTGCAGTGGTCTACAGGACCTACATAATCTGATCTTTGCCTGTTTCTCTGATCTCACCTCTAATTTCCACTTTCACTCATGTAGTTCTAGCCACACTGGCTTTCTTTCTGATCCTCAATCAAGTGAAGCTTAGTCTCTATCAGGGTCTTCTGTTCCCTATGCCTAAACACACATTTCCCTGATTATTTCATTGCTAACTTTATTCAGGTCTCAATTCAAATGTAACCTCCCCTGAGAGATCATCCCTGACTATCCTTATCTATGAACATAGTAAGCTCTCAACAGACATTTGTTGTCTAGAGATACTTATCTAGGTTCAAGTATAAAAGAGCAACTGGGGAAAAAACACAATTCACAATATAGATCAAGAGTTTGTCTCTGAAAAAGACCAAAGGTAGCTCCCTTATTAAAACTAAAGAGAGAAGACGAGTGGTAAATGGGAATTGGAAGAGAGATTTCTTTAGGAACTCATACTGACATAACCTGTTCCCCTTAGGTCTCAAGCTTTCTTTTCACAGGCCTTTGAAGAGAGCTTCACACAAGCAGCTCAAAATGCTGCCACCTCACAGACCAGCTATATTTTTACCAGCAATAGCTTCCATTGTGTGGCCAGTCCTTATCACCTGAGTTCTGTCTTCTTGTCATGGTTCTCATCACCATCCAGGGCTCCTTTCCTTGCTCTAATAAAAAAAATACATTTGGCTTGGGGATCACACATCCAGCTTAAAAGAAAAGAAATGATACACAGTCATGCTACAGGAGTTCCAGATTCAAATTCAGTTCAATGACCACTGAAAAAGAGAGGCACGACAGAAAATGGCAGAGAAAGAAATGACAGTCTTGAGAAATAAAAAAGTATACCGTGGAGCTGACCATTTCCACTTCTACAAAACTCAAACCTGGAAATCAGAAATTCACAATGAAGAAGACAAAAACCAGGGGAAACAAATTATGAATATCATGTAAGAGGATCTTACCCAGTGAGATCAGGTTGCTATAGTTCTCCAACATCACATCTCTGTACAAATTCCTCTGAGCAGAATCTAAGCATTCCCACTCCTCCTGAGAGAAGTCAATGGCCACATCCTTGAAAGTCACCAACCACTGAAACAACAAATCCATTCATTATTTGTGAAAATATGATAATGATTTTGTGGTGAAAAGAGAAAAAATGGAGATCATTGAAAGGGATGACACAATAAATAGCAAGCCACAACTGAACACCTGTAACATCAGTGGTCACGGAAGGAAATTAGGTGCCTAAACCATAGTATCAACATGACTCTAGACCATTCCTACTGCCACAGATAAGACTTCCTTTATCTAATAGAATAATTCCATTATCCAGAAAGGTCAAGGAATAAAAAAGGCCAGATGAATGCAGTCTCTCAATTAAATAAAAGATTGTATAGTCATATAGCAGATTAAACTTTCAAATTCTCAATAAATAATAAATTCTTAATAAATATGAGTTCTTCCCTTCCCATCTCCCTTTAAAGAAAAAGATAAACAAAGTTGATGAAAACTTTCCAAATAATGTAAATCAAATCTCTAGGCTAGAAAATGAAATTTGAATATAGGCCGGGCTCCGTGGCTCAGCCTGTAATCCTGCACTTTGGGAGGCCGAGGTGAGTGAACTGTCTGAGTCCGCGAGTTTGAGACCCGCCTGGGCAACTTGGCGAGACCTCATCTCTACAATAAATCAAAAAAACTAGCCGGGCGTGGTAGCACGTGCCTGTAGTTCCAGCTACTTAGAAGGCTGAGGCAGAAGGATTGCCGGACCCCAGTAGGTCGAGGCTGCGGTGGCCGGGAACGTGCCACTGCACTCCAGTCTGGGCGACAGAGTGAGACTCCAACTCAAAAAAAAAAAAGAAATTTGAATATAACGAGAATTTATTGAAGACTCAGACTCTCATCAAGTCACAATGGTATGTCACTGAATAGAATGGATATATGATATATCTATTTGATATGTGAAATAATCTGCTAATTTGGGAGCATTTAATTAGATAAATTCTCTAATGTCTTTGAGCTCTAAGAATCTAAAATTCTTAGGAGAGTATGTATCTGACATGCTTTATATGCTCCTTCTTTCCATGTTCTAGATTACAGCAAGGTGATGGATGCCAGGTCAGGTGTATATTGACATCATTCTGGACTGGTACATCCCAGACAACTCCAAGGTGCACCTGATTGATGATCATCCTCTCTCACTGGTTCCTGAGCAAGAGGGGTATGACAGGCCGAATAAAGGCCCCAAAGATGTCCACAAACTAATCCCTGAAACCTGTGAATATGTTATCTGACATGGCAAAAGGGATTTTGCAGGAGTGATTACATTAAGGATTTTGAGATGGGGAGATTATCCTGGATTACCTGGTTAGGCCCAATGTAATCACATGGGTATTTATAAGTTATAGAGGGAAGCAGGAGAGTCAGAGGAAATGTGAATGAAAGTAAAGACCAAAATGTTACAATTGCTGGCTTTGAAAATGAAGGGCAGCCACAAGCCAGGTACTGTGGCAACCTTTAGAACCTGAAAAAGACAAGAAAACAGATTCTTTTCTAAAACCTCCAGAAGACACACAGCTCTGCTGATACTTAGTTTTAGCCCTGTAGGACCAACTTCAGACTTCTGACCTCTAGTATAAGATGATAACTTGTATTGTCTTAAACCACTAAATTTGCGGTAATTTGTTAACAACAACAATACGAAACAATACAAGAGCAAGATCCTCTCCTTCACAAGACTGAGGTTACCATTCAATCTCAAAAGACTCACAGAAAATCTTGCCACACACACTGAGACTAGGAACAACCAGCAGAAATGCCATCACTTCCTAGCGAAAAACCCAGGTTTATAGAGAAGATCAAAGATTATGTGTCCCATTTAACTATTCATCTCAACCTCACTGATTTGTACTGTTCTTGGAAGATATTTCTGCTCCCTCAGAGCTCCAAGCAGGAGACTCTGCATGTGGAAAACGTAGAATTATCTGCCAAATGAACACTGAAAAACTGTTTAGAAAGGGAAGAAACATTTACAGAAGAATGGAGCTCTTTGCTACTATTACAGGAATGGAAGAAATTTGGGAACAGTTCCCTTAAGGGACCAAACAAGGCAGAAAATTCTGGGATAAATAAATCTGGTGTTCACATCACACAATAAAATGATTGCACTTCAAGAAGGAATGAAAAAACAGCAACTCACGTGGGGCATGGTTTTCAGAACTGTCAGAATAGATCAATCTTCAGGGTTCCTCTTCTGGAGTTGTACAAAGTTCAGAGAAGCCAGTGCTGGAAAAGGAAAAAGAACCCACAACATCAGACTTGCCCCAGAGACCACAAAATAAGTGACTTAGAATTCCTTTTACTTCCTCTCTTGGAAGGACCCTGGCAAAATCTCAGTCATTCCACAAACCCTATGGAAGACAGCTACCGCAGAAGGGATTCAGGCCAGACCTTTCCTTAATCTCCATGTTGAGCAAGACTTCAGATGCTGCTACTTCCCCATAACATCTTCTCCTCTACAGTAGGAGAGCAGCATGCCCAGGGAGTCCCACACCTACCCCCGGGGCCCAAACACTAAGTGAAGCGATTTGCTCCGAGCCTTAGAAAGGGGCTTCAGAGACCAAAAATGGTATCCTTTCAGATATTATGAACATCAGCCAGACTCACTGACATTGTGACAGACATGGTGCCAAGGCCAACAAATCCAAACAGTCTCCATCACAATACAAATGCCTGAGTATATGGTGTCATAGCCTCATCCTAATCTATGATTCCCAGAATCCTGTAGTCCAACATACCCTAATTCCCAATCATGGTCACTTATGATTTTCTTGCTTAAGCATGTGAGAGCTGTAGAGAAGCTAAAATTATGGTGTTTATATAATATTTAATTATCCAGATATGCAAACAATAATATTTCAACAGATCAGGAAACAAGTGTGAGAAAGTGATGTCATCTGCTTAAATTGAAAATTCAAAGTGGCACAGCTAAATTTCTCCCAAGATGAGGAATTAGCCTGGCCTGCTGGCTCCCTCCCTCAAAATCCAGTTATATCCTTCTATTTGCCACAGTTTTGTAGCATTCATCATTTCTTTGTTTCTTTGTTGGCAACATTGATCTAGCACAAATATATGTTCCATGACCTTAATGACAATGTTGCTCATATGATATCAAGAAAAGTCAAAGAGAAAGGGTAAATAATGAGAAGTAACATTTTGGCTTATGCCTATAATCCCAGGACTTTGAGAGGCCAATGTGAGAGGACTGCTTGAGCTCAGGAGTTCAAGACCAACCTGGGCAACATAGTGAGATCTCGCTTCCATAAAAAAAAGATTAAAAAAAAATGAGCCAAGATTGGTGGCATGTGCCTGTAGTCCCAGTTATTTGGGAGGCTGAGAAGAAAGGATCACCTAAGTCCAAGAGGTGCAGTGAGTGAACTGTGATCATGCCACTACACTCCAGCCTGGGCAACAGAGTGAAACCCCAACTGGAAAAAAAATAAAAGATTTTTTGGGGGTATAGTAGAGCACTGATGAGCCACATGTCATTGTACTAAGATCTTGTCCCCCTTCAACCAATTTTCACCTTCTTGGAGGCAATATCATCTTCACTGAGAATACCTAAGCTAAACATAAAGATGTTAATTATTTGCAAGTAAATGGAATTTTGATGTATGACATATAAATTAAACATGAACCTAATAAAAGTACTAACAAGTATGGAGACAGATACATGAAATTTAAGTTCAACAAGAAAAAAAAAAAGCAAAAATAGTCAAAAAAATACCAGGAAAAAAAAAGAGCAGACATTTAAAAAATACCACAAAGTTCCTATTATTGAAATGTTGGATACTGACATATGAATAGATATAGAGATTAACAGAACAGAATCAAATCTCTAATCTTTGAAGAAAAATAAATTGTTCAATAATGTTATTGTTCAAAAATGTTATTGGAGAAAGGTAAAATCAGAAATCGGATCCCCATTTTATACCGCATATGCCATATACCATTAACTCCAAATAGATAAGAGATCTAAATATTTAAAAATGAAATCACAAAAATGCTCGAAAGAAAAACTGGCTGTGTTTCTCTTAACTTCAGAGGGGAAAAGTCTTTTTGTTTTTTTAAGATGTGGGGTACAATTCAGGGTCAGGTACATAAGTGGTCATCATACAAGTGAAGTTTGGGCTTCCCATTGGTCCTCACTTCACCTGGTTTGGGATCAGGTACCCTTATTAGTGCTATGTGCAGCCCCCCTCCCTCCCCTGGCAGTGATCTGCTACTGCCAATATCTTTCACGCAGTATTATGATAAATGTTCAGGGTCCACTTGGGAAAAGTCTTTATAACTATGTCTCACAATCATATGATTAAATTTTACATTTAAAAACTGCCTAAGAGAAAAGAATACACAAATGACAAAATATGAGAAAATATTTGTAACTTAAGCCAAAAAGGATAACTCTCCAAAGATCAAACAGCTTTACTTTAAAAGTCAAGAGGAAGATACAAAATCATTGACTAAATATGTTCATCCTTGGACTTTGCAGCAACTTGGATGGATTTAGAGTCTACCATACTCAGTGATCTATCACAGAAACAAAGAACAGAGTACCCCATATGTTCTCACTCATAAGTGGACCTTGAATAATTTTCATAATACTATAAGGAAGGAATTGGCAGTAGTGGGAAACTGCCAGGGGAGTGGGAGTGGTTTGGCAGTTGAAGGTAACTGCCAGGGGAGGGAGGGGCACACCTCATCAACAAAGGTACGTGCATAATGAGCATTTGTATACCTAACCCTAAATTGTACCCACCACATCTTTAAAATTAAAAAAAGGTAAAAAATAAATAAAAATTTAAAAAAAGTTCATCCTTAAATAGGAAAAATCTACACTGAAACTAAATTGAAGACTTCCAATTCCAATAATGATTAAGCTCTTACCAGACTAACTTCTCTGTAGATATGCCAAGTAGTTCTGGACGTAATACAAAAAGCAACTAACTGAAGATATTGGGCAATGAACAAGCAGTATTCCTCCCCAAAAATGCATAACCAAAATAGAATTACAAGGTAACATCAAATACATACAAATTGAGGGACAATCTACAAAATAATTAGCCTATGTATAGTCTTAAAAAAAAAGTCAAGATTATGAAAGATCAAAAAAGGTTCAGGAATTGTTTCAGATTAAAGAAGACTAAAGAGACATGATAACTAAGTGAAATGTTTGATCACAGATATGATTTTAGACTGGATGCCAGATAAGGAACAAAAAGACAGAACTGGAATAACCGGAGATTCTTCTATGAATTTCTCTGAATTAGATTATTATATCTCTGCTACATTTCTTCACTTTAATACTACAGTTATATGCCTTGTACTTAGAAAATACACACATGTAATTATAGATATAAATGTGGAGGTTGCAGTAGTTGTGATCAAATACTCCAGCTTTGGCAACAGAGAGCTATCCTAATAGCAGTAATGGTTATTGTTGTTTTGAAACAATTATAAATGTATTTTAGAACAAAGCAAATAAATTATATTAATGTTAACAGCAACCAAGACTGTTAGTATAAAAGATATATTAGTATAAAATCTGAATATTACTATTAAGTGATTCACAAAAAAGTACATATATAGTGAGAATTAACACATAAAAAAGCAAAATGTTACAAATGTTAATAACTGGTAAATCTGTAAGGGCATATTAGAGTTTTTTCTACTCTTTTTGCAACACAACTTTTCTCTAAGTGTAATATTATATTAAAAAAAAAATTTTTTTTTTTAAATCAGTGGTGGCCAGGTGCGGTGGCTCATGTCTATAAACCTAGCACTTTGGGAAGCCAAGGTGAAAGGATTGCCTGAGCCCACGGACTCAAGACCAGCCTGGGCAACTTGGTGAGATCGTGTCTCTACAATAAATCCAAAAATAGGCCGGGCGTGATGGCGCATGCCTTGTAGTTCCAGCTACTTGGATGGCTAAAGCAGAAGAATCACCTGAGCCCAGCAAGTCGAGGCTGCAGTGGCCATGAGTGTGCCCCTGCTCTCCAGCCTGAGTGACAGAGTGCAACTCCAACTCAAAAAAATAATTAAAATATTAAAAAAAAAAATCAATGCTATGTGAACACTGATTCTTCATTAAGAAACTAAAGAGACATAACCAAACACAAAACGTAAACGTTAAATACAGCAAAATATAATAACCAAAAGAAATCTAAAGGTCGGGCTCGGTGGCTCAGCCTGTAATCCCGCGCTTTGGGAGGCCGAAGCGAGTGGATTGCCTGAGCCCACAGGTTCGCGACCTGACTGGCGAGACCTCATCTCTACAATAAAGCAAAAAATTAGCCGGGCTTGGTAGCACATGCCTGTGGTTCCAGCTACTTGGAAGGCTGAGGCGGAAGGATCGCCGGAGTCCAGCAGGTCGAGGCTGTGGTGGCCGGGAGCGTCCACTGTACTCCAGTCTGGGCAACAGAGTGAGACTCCAACTCAAAAAAAAAAAAGATTTGGGAGGCCAAGGTGAGTGGATGGCCTGAGCCCGCGGGTTTGAGACCCGCCTGGGCAACTTGGTGAGACCTCATTTTTACAATAAAAAAAAAAAAAAAAAAAAAAAAAAAATCAGCCGGGCGTGGTAGCGTGCGCCTGTAATTCCGGCTACTAGGAAGGCTGAAGCGGAAGGATTGCCAGAGCCCAGCGGGTCGAGGCTGCGGTGCCCGGGAGCAGCCACTGCACTCCAGTCTGGGCGACAGAGTGAGACTCCAACTCAAAAAAAAAAAAAAAAGAAATCTAAGGCCCAGCCCAGTGACTCACACCTTCAATCCCAGCATTTCGAGAGGCCCAGGTGGGTGGATAGCCTGTGAACAGGAATTCAAGACCAGCCTAGGAAACATAGCAAGACTCTGGCTCTACAAAACTTAAAAAGCCGGGCTCGGTGGCTCAGCCTGTAATCCTGCGCCTTTGGGAGGCTGAGGTGAGTGGATTGCCTGAGCCCGCGGGTTCGAGACCCACTTGGGCAAGCGAGACCTCAAATCTACAATAAAATTTTTAAAAATTAGCCAGGCATGGTAGCACGTGCCTATAATTCCGGCTACTCAAAAGGCTGAGGCGGAAGATCGCCGGAGCACAGCAGGTCGCGGCTGAGGTGGCCGGGAGCGGCCACTACACTCCAGTCTTGGCGACAGTGAGACTCCAACTCCAAAAAAAAAAAAAAATTTTTAATTAGCTGAGTGTGATGGCACACACCTGCACTCCTGGCTACTCGGGAGGCTGAAGCAGGAGGATCGCTTGAATCCAAAAGTTCTACGTTGCAGTGAGCTGTGATCATGCCACTGCAACCTGGGGTACAAGAGTGAAAACTTCTCTCCAAAAAATAAAGAAATAAATAATATCAGTGTTACTAGCAACTAAGATTACTAGCATAAAAGAAGAACGATACAAGTATAAAATCAAATGAGAAAAAAACTCTTGCTGGGCACAGTACCTCAGGCCTGTAATCCCAGCACTTTGAGAGGCCAAGGCGGGAGTTGTTTTTCAACTCCACAAAAAAATTTTAAAAATTAGTCAGGCTTGGTAGCGTGTGTCTATACTCCCAGCTATTCAGGAAGCTGAAGAAGGAGGATTGCTTGAGCCCAGGAGTTTGAGGTTTCAGTGAGCTGTGATTGTGCCACTGCCCTTAGTCTAAGCAACTGAGTGAGAACTGACTCAGAGGGAAAAAAAAAAAAAAGAAAGAAAGAAAAGGAAAAAACTCTTTGATTATTGGTCTAAATGGAATTATGATTATAAAAGCATGATTTAAGATTTAAACTTTAAGAACAAGTTATTAGCTTTGTTCCCTGAAAAGGCCTAAAAGAAACAACAACCCTATGACAAGGAGAACCCCTAATGCCCAGAATGTGGTCTCTGTATACTATGTTCTACAAGAGGAACTAGAGGAACCAGAATTCCTTACAGAAATGGCTTATGTCAGGCCTGGTACAGGAAATGTAGAAGGAAAATCTAGGACAATTTGTTGTACCAGAAAGCAAATAAGCTATCACCTCCAATGGGATCATGTCAAAAAGACATAGAACTGCCTGGAATGGCCTACCACAGACTTAAGAGAGAATAGTTTGATACAAAGAAGAAGAAGAATTACAATGGTTTGAAGCATATCAAATGTGTACAAAAAATCCAATATGGTACTCAAAACAAACTCACTTACTTTTGGGACTCCTTAGTAGGTTGTAGAGAACCAAGTCATTTCTCTGAAAATTAACACATAAAGAATCAAATAGGCCGGGCTCAGTGGCTCAGCCTGTAATCCCACTCTTTGGGAGGCCAAAGTGAGTGGATTGCCCGAGCCCACGGGTTTGAGACCTGCCTGGGCAACTTGGCGAGACCTCTTCTCTACAATAAATCAAAAAATTAGCCAGGCGTGGTAGTGTGCGCCTGTAGTTTCAGCTACTTGGAAGGCTGAGGCGGAAGGATCGCCGGAGCCCAGCAGGTCGAGGCTGCAGTGGCCACTCTGCACTCCAGTCTGGGCGACAGTGAGACTCCAACTCAAAAAAAAAGAATCAAATAAATTATTCTGCCTTTCCAGAAGAAAAGTTCTTATACAGAGAACTAATAAACCCAGAATAAACCCATTCTAACAAATACAGAAGGAATTGAGAGAACTTTTAAATTTGATTTTATTTATTATTTTTTTGAGTAGGAGTCTCACTCTGTGCCCGGGCTGGAGGGCAGCGACACATTCACAGCCACCGCAGCCTCATCCTGCTAGGCTCAGGCAATCCTTCCACCTTAGTCTTTCAAGTAGCTAGAACCACAGACGTGCGCCACCATGCCCGGCTAATTATTTTTTTTAATTGTAGAGGCAAGGTCTCACCAAGGCTGGTCTTGAATCCCTGTACTAAGGCAATCCTCTGCCTCTGCCTCTCAAAATGCTGGGATTACAGACATGAGCCACCATGCCCAGCTGTGAGAGAATTTTTTTAAATCGCCGTATGTAATCTTTAATGAAATAATGGACCTCAGCATCAATCACAAATGGATAATTTTTAAGTCAGCATTTCTTAATCTTTTAAAAAAGTATTCATTATCACACCCTTAAAGAGCCTCTTTATTAATAGATACTTTTTTCTTAATAACCACCCCACCCCACCTCCTGTGAAATTTTGTTATCACAGACACAATGTACATATCTACTTATATACTGTGGCCCTTCAGAGGGTCACAAATCATGGTAATATGGAAGAATTTGTCTCCCTTCTTGTCAAGAACCAAACTTCAATCCCTTGAGGGGGGCAATACCCATACACCACAGACAAGGCATGCTTGGTGAAACTGGGAGACTAGCCTAGGAAACATAGCGACACCTCATCTCTACACAGAAAAAAAAATTTAAAAATTAGCCAGGTGTGGTGGCGCATGCCTGTAGTCCCAGCTACCCAGGAGGCTGAGGTGGAAGGATCACCTGAGGCCAGGAGGTCAAAGGTGCTGTGAGCCATGATCATCATGATTATGCCACTGCACTCCCGCCTGGGTAACACAGTGAGCCCCCAACTAAAAAAAAAAAGATTTAAGTGGGCACCATTTAAGCACATCAATAAGACATCTCCAAAAGTGGGACACCAGACTTTGAGAACCTCATGATGTGAGGAGGCTTATGATGTGACATACTAGGATGCACATAGCAGCAACTATGAATTATTTTTGTCTGAACATGTGATTTATGGAAAATCTGATCTGAATCTGATCAAGTCTTTAGATCTAACTGTGCACTTACAGAAATATGAAGGATCAGAGGACAAACTATATGACACTCCAAGAAAGCAATTAGTCAAAAGCAGAATATGAAATACTCTATAGGACAAATGATCTAGTTTTTCTGCAAATCAGTGGCATCAATATAAAACACAACAAAATTTTTTAAATAATTAAAAAAAAAAAAAAACAGGAGGGAAATTGTCAAGAATTTAAGAAGCTTAGGAGGTTTGGCAACCGAATGCAATATGTGGAATCTATCTGGATCCTGACTTACACAAATCAATTGTAAAAATCAGTCCTTGAAAGAATTGGAAAAATTTGAATATGAACTGAGTATACAATATTATGGAATTACTGTTAGTTTTTTTATGTTAGGATAACAGCATGGTAGTTATTTAAAATATGTCTTTTTTGGTCATATATGCATATGTACATGCATAACAATTTTGAAATACTACAGAAAAAAAGGGGGAAGGATTGATACAAGAGCAACTGCAAGTATTCATTTGGTGTTGAAACTTTGGAGTTTGTATTATTTTCTGTCCTGCTTGAAAACTCCATCATGAAGCTAAAACGTAAAAAGACTTCAAGTTTCCCTCCAAAAGGTATAGTTATCAAAATCTTAAACCAGGCCACACACAGTGGCTCACCCCTGTAATCCTAGCCCTTTGGGAGGCCACGATGAGAGGACTGCTTGAGGTTAACTGTTCAAGACCAGCCTAGGCAATACAGCCAGACTACGTCTCAGCAAAAAATAAAATATTAGCCGTAATGGTAGCATGCACCTGTAGTCCCAGCTACTCTGGAGGCTGAGGGGAGAAGAATTGCCTTAGCTCAGGAGCTCAAGGTTGCAGTGAACTGTGACTGCGCCCCTACACTGTAGCCTGGGTGACAGAACGAGACCCCCAACTCGAAAGAAGGAAGGAAGGAAGGAAGGAGGAAAGGAAGGGAGGGAAGGAAGGAGGGAAGGAAGGAAGGAAGGAAGGAAGGAAGGAAGGAAGGAAGGAAAGAAGGAAGGAAGGAAGGAAGGAAGAAAACTAAGCCCAGAAAAGACGTTATGTCACTAGGTGAAAAGAAGTAATGTGCCTTGGGAGTAGAAGGAGCCTGACGATTCCATTCTTGCAGCATTTATGGGATGCCTACGGACCAGTTACTGGAATGCCTGGTTCCTCCTTGGAAAGATGTTGCAGGAGATGGAAAACATCTTGATAAGGAAAAATTTGAGGGAAGAAAAAACACAGAAACTTACTGTACGCCAAGTCTTGCAGATATGCAATATTCTTTCCCTCTGTGTACTTCTCTCGGTAAAAGCAGAACAAAGGAAAGAAAAAACAGTCACAGAATATCAGAGTTCTCAGTGCAGACAAAATTTAAGAGCACCTCCCACACCAAACCCAGGCAAGAGAGAGGTTAGTCTTCCCCACAGGACTCTCAAGGTAGAATGGGGTATCTATTACAGCAATCATCTTCCTACGGCACTTTCAAGGGTAAATCCTCATCAGGGCATCTTCAAAGGAGCCTCGTTTTCTAAAAGAACTGCAGCAGCTGTAACCGCGCAATTCTAAGCTTGAGGAACGCTGTCCGTGTCACACGGAGAATACTGAGGCGCGGAGGAGCCAAAGGACAGGAGCAATTTTACGAGGCTGTAGGTGAGGCTATCCCGGGACCACACAAGCTCACTCGCACACATACAGCATGGAGAAACACCACAAGTAAAAAGCAACCACCCGTTCCCAGCCCCCGCTCCTGTCCGCCAAAGCAACGGTACCGATTTTGCCCGCGGAAAGGGGCTCCGGAGTGCATACTCGTCAATTGGGAGAGGAGGAACGCTCGAAACACTAGTAGCATCACGCCCCCCCGGCTCCCGGAACCAAAGTGACGGTGCCGATTTTGCGGACGGAGAGGGGCGCCACACCTCCACACCGACAGGGTCGGCTTCCATACGTAATTAGCCTAGAGCATTGCGACCGAGGAGAAATGTCCCGTTTCCTGTCAGCACCAACCCCCAGCCAGGACTCCGGTAATCTCAGCACCATACAGGACGTTCTCTCTCGACGCAGCCACCCGAAAGCAGAGCACGGGTCCCAGCGAGGCCGCTCACTCACCCGGTCGCAGCCGACTAGATCCTAGCGTCAAGACGTAACGGCGTAAGTGTACGTCATGGCGCAGCGACGCGGTGGCCTTCGGGAAACGTAGTCGAAAGCGGGAAACTGGCCAGAATCACATCACCGTAGACCCAGTGATCTGGTCCTGCGGTCCTGAACAGGCTGAGCCTTGAGTCTTCCTTGACTGAACTGTGGTTCTCACCCTCCTAGGGCGAAAGTCTTCTTCGAGTGACTTCCCAGAAGTTCCAGAGACCGTCACACCAAGAGGTTACGTCTGGCCGTGATGCTTTCAGGGAAATGTAGTCCTGGGCTGGAAAAGCTCCAAAAGGCTGGAAGACAGGGATTGTGTGTGAAAGTTCCTGGGAATGGCTTCGTTATGACTTTGGGGGGGATGTCTGCGATTAATCAGATCTGGTCTTTGACTACGTATCTTATCGCTTGTAAGAAAATGGTTTTTGTTTTTATGATTATGAGTTTAGGATAGATTCTTATGGAATTACACAAATTAAGTGAATGAGACATCGAGAGTTCACCTGTGGCAATGAATGTGGGAAAAGAAATGTGTGAGCATAGTGTGAGAATGAGGTGATCGTATGCAGCTCTGTGATATAGAGATATCCCTAGCCTTCGGTTTCTTCACCTGTAAAATTAGGGTAACAGTCGTATAACGCTTTGGATATTGTTGTTCAACAGAACTTTCTGCAAAACTGTGTTTCATTTTTTTATATCTGTGCTGTCCAATACAGCAGCCGGTAGTTAAATGTAGCTACTGAAAACTTGAAATGTAGCTAGTTTGACTGAGGAACTGAATTTTAATCGTGTTTGGTTCTAATAAATCTAAACTTAAACAGCTATTTGTGACTGGTGGTCTTCCTGTTATACACGAATCGCTAGAAATCAGATAACCAGCCCAATTAAAGGTCAAATTAATAAGTAAACCCTTTATTAAAGCCCGCGGTCGAGAGGAGACTTGTGCCTCCCAGACTCTCGACAACGAATGAAATCTGCGGGGAGTCTTTATAGGCAAAAGCAGTTGGGAAACCGAGTCATTACAGAGATAAACACATGAAACACATGTTCTGGCGTTTGACACATGTTCTGGCGTTTGACACTTAGATAAGGGCGCACACAGTATACTCGGAAAAAGGGGGCACACGGTATACTCAGATAAGGGGAAACCTGTTAGAGCACTGGGTGGGGTGCAGGGCTGTGAGGGTTGTTTATGAGCAAAATTATAAAATTCTTGCATCAGCCACACAGAAGTTTAATAACAAGTTAACAACTTGGAGACAAGCCACAAAATGGAGTTTTACATTTTAAATATAAACTTAGGTTTTCTCCAATACACTGCAAACACTTTAAACATTTCATAAAATATAGCAAAAACACTTTAAAGACTTCATTCCTATTGTACAGTGCAAACTGGAGTATTAATTTGCATTCACGATTTGAAGAGGGTAATAAAAGGCGCTCATTAGCAGATATTTGAAAAATGAATTTTATACTGAAAGATGAGAGAAAATGCAACTTTAGCCTTGGTCTTTTTAAAATTGAGGAATAAATAAAATAAAGTTCATAAATATTATATATACACTCAATCTTTTTTTTACATACACAGCTAACCACCACACATAGATCAAGATAACATTTCCAAGACACCAGAATGCTACCATGTGCCCCATCCTGGTCAAGTGTGATTCTATCCAGAAGTGACTATTATTTGGACTTCTAGTATCATAGATTAGTTTTGTGTATTCTTGAACTTCCTTTTAATGCAATCAATGTAATGGTATTTGTCTGACTCCTTTACATCCACATGACTCTGAGCTGAGTCCTTTTTATTGAGGTCAGCAATAATTTTTCAGCCTGCTAGTAAATATGTTGGGCTTTGTGAGCCAGATCATCTCTGTTACAACTACTCAACTCTGCCACTGTGGCATGAAAGCTTCTATAGACAATATGCAAACAAACCAGTCTGGCTGTGTTCCAAAACCATTCTTAGATTATTAGTCATACAAAAACAAATAATGAATGGGCCAGATTTGGTCTGCAGGCTGTTTCCAATCCTTGTCATAATTTAATCATTCTATATCGAGAGATATGTGTGTGGCTTTTAGTTTTTTGTTATTACAAATAAAGTTACTATGAACATTCTTCAAATATCTTTTGGTAGACATTATATTCATTTCTGTTGGGAATCCAAGAGTGGAATAGCTGGCTGGGTCATAAAGTAGGTATATATTTTACTATATAGATATTCCCAAACCATTTTAGAAAGTAATTGTGCCAATTTATACTTTTACCAGCAAAGTATTCCTGTTGCTCCACATTCTCTGGAACACCTGGTATTATCAGTCTTTTAAATTTTTGCAAACCAGTAGGTGGGTAACAGCATGATTTTAATTTGCTTTTCCCTAATGATGAATACTCACTTTAGTATCCTTTCCTATGCTGGCAATTTAAATATCCCTTTTGGTGAAGCATCTGTTCAACTCTTGACCATTTTATTAAAATCAGTTTGTGTTTTTTCCTGTTTATTTATTGGTATTTGTATATACTGGGATACAAGGCCTTTGTAGGATATATGTATTGCAGATATCTTCTTCAAGGCTGTTGCTTTCCTTTTCACTCTGATAATGAAGTCTTTTTGAAGAACAGATGCTCTTAATTTTGTATGAAGTTCAATCTATTTTTTTATTTAGAGCTGATGCATTCTGCTTAAAAACCTTTGCCTATCTTAAGGACATGAAGTGCCATAGTTTGAATGTTTTTTCCTCTTCAAAACTCAAAAAGCAACAGTGTTGGGAGGCGGGACCTAACGGAAAGTGCTTAGGTCCTGAGGGCTCCACCTTCATGAATGGATTAGTGTCACTACTAAAAGGGCTTTTGGGAGAGGGCTTACTCTTTCTTTCATGCGTCTGTCAAATGTCCCCACTTGCCCTTCTACCGTCCATCATATGAAGACAAAGCAAAAAAGCCTTCACCAGACACTAGATGCCAGTGCCTTAATCTTGGATGTCCCAGCCTTCAGAACTGGGAGGAAATAAATGGACTAAATCATGAAGATATTCTATTTTTCTTCTGAAGCATTATTTGTTTTGCATTTCACATTTAGAGCTATAATCCAACTCAATTTTTTGTTTTTAGATAGGAGGTCAAGAGACATTTTCTTCCATATGTATAACTAGTTGCTCCAGCACTATTTGTAATGTCAATTGCAATGGTACCTTTGTAATGTCAGCACTATTTATTGAATTGCATTGATACCTTTGTAATGTCAAATGTCATCTATTTCTGTATTCTATTCTGTCTTATTGCTATGTTTACCTAATCTTGTACCAATGCCAGATTGTCTTTAGAGTATTGACATATCATGATATGTGTTAAATTTTACTTTATATGAGCCTATTGGCTCTTATTGATTATATGTATTCCCATATATTTTTCAGGAACCAGCAAGTTGATTCACATGAAAAAAAAGAAGCTGGAAGGATTTAACTGGCATTTTCTTGACCCTATAAGTATAGGGTTAATTGATATCTTAGCCAATACCAAGTCTTCCAATTCACAAACATGGTATACAAATACACCATGAGGAAATCTCTTCATTTCTTTATGTCTTTATTTAAATTTATCTCACCAATGTTTTGTTAATTTCAGTGGAAAACTTTGTGCCTTTTTTTATTAGCTTTATTGAGATACAATTAATATATCATAAAATTCTCCCTTTTAAGGTGCTAACTCGTTGTTGATATATTCAGTCATGCAACTATCCACACAATCTAATTTAGAGTGTTTTCATCACTTAAAAAATAAGCCTCTTACCCATTGGCAGTTATTCCTAATTCCTATCCCATAACCCCTAGTCCCAGACAACCACTAATCTGTCTCTATAGAATTGCCTATTCTGGACATTTCAAATAAATGTTATCATATAATATGTGCTTTTTGGTGACTTGCTTCTTTCATTTTACATGTTTTCTTTTTTCTTTTTTTTTGAGTTGGAGTCTCATTCTGTCACCCAGACTGGAGTGCAGCCTTAACCTGCTGGACTTCAGCGATCCTTCCGCCTCAGCCTTCCAAGTAGCTGGAACTACAGGCGCGCACTACCACACCCGGTTAATCTTTGATTTATTGTAGAGATGAGGTCTCGCCAAGTTGCCTAGGCGGGTCTCGAACCCGTGGGCTCAGGCAATCCACTCACCTCAGCCCCCCAAAGCACTGAGATTACAGGCTGAGCTACCGATCTCAGCTCATTTTCATGTTTTCAAAGTTGATCCATGTTATGACATGTTACTAGTGCTTCATTCCTTTTCATTGCTGAATACTATTATATTATATGACTATGTCATATTATCTCTTCATTAGTTTATAGAGATTTAGTTTCTTTCCACCTTTTGGCTATCATAAATAATGCTAATACTGACAGGAGCATTGTGTACAAACTTTCATGTGAACATATGTTTTTAATTTACCTTGGCTATATACCTAGCAGTGGAATTGTTGAGCCATATGGTAACTCTATGTTTAACTTTAAAAAATAGATTTAGAGGGTGCAAGTGCATGTTTGTTATATGAATATACTGAGTAGTGGTGGAGTCTGAGCTTTTTTGTAACTATCACCTGAGTAGTGTACATTGTACCCAATAAGTAATTTCTCATCCTTCACTCCCCCTCCCACCATCCCACATTTTCCAGTCTCCAGTGTCTGTTATTTCACTCTGTATGTCCATGTTTATACATTGTTTAGCTCCCATTTAAAAATAAAAATATGTGAAATTTTATTTTTTGTTTCTGTGTTATTTCACTTA